AAAACGGCTGACCAGTTAAATCAGCTGTATGCCACGCCCACATCAACAACAGCCGTAACTCCTGCAACAGAACTATACGCGCCAGTTGGTGCCTACTATGCAGCAACGCCAAATCTGCAGCCCAAACTGCAGCCACCGCCGCTGGTGCCGGTGAGCAGCAACAGCAATAACGTTGCGATTGGCAGTGTGCCGAGCAACGGTGCACCCTCTTCTACGGTGGTGCTGGATCGCATTAACATATGCATCAACAATCACTATACAGAACCAAATCTTTGCCAGCCCTCGCCCATCATACCCGCTATACAGCATAAGGCGCTTCTGCCACTTATCGATAGCAGCACAGCTGACAGCAGTTGCAGTAGCAGCAGCAGCTGCTCGAATGGCCGCAGCAGCAGCAGCGCAGCTACAGCCGCTGTTATAGTGATAGACGAGCCGGACTCCACAACAACAACCCCGCATACGCCGCCCACAACGCCTGAAACTTTGAGCTCGCCTCTTAAATCGCCGGGCAGCAACAGTAGCTGCGTGCTCTTGCCAACGACACAGCTGAAGCAGAGCTTCACCACAGTCACGCAGAGCATTGAGGAAGTAGCTGAAGTTTCAGTGGCTGCCGCAGCACCACCCACACCTCCCACACCGCCGCCGGCAGCACCCAGTCCTGCTCCGATTAGCTATGCGCTGCAAGAGGACGTGTTCATTAAATGCAACGATGGACGCTTCTATTTGGGCACCATAATCGCACACTCCGAGGAACAGTATCTGGTGCGTTTCGACGACAAGTCAGAGCAATGGTGCGAGCTGGAGAAGCTACGCAAATTGGGCAACGAGCCGAGTACGGGTGCCGCCGCCAGCCAAAGCGGACCCATGTGCGTGGCCTGTAAGCGGGCACAACACGAGGATATTGTTGAAATTTGCGAGCGTTGCGGCCGTGGCTATCATCGCGGCTGCACCACAGAAATCGCTAGCGGTATTTGGTGCTGCAAGCGTTGCGCAAAGCCCATGAAAATGCAGCCAGCACTTGAGGCCAACAAACCGCCAGGCATTTGCCGTCAGTTACCCTATCATGTAGGTGCAGTCATGTTATACACAAGCTATATATAATTTTATTTTATTTATTATCTATTGTTCAAAAGGCGGACAAGCTCAGCTGGGATGAAAAGCATCGCGTGAATGAAGAGCAAATTTATTGCTATTGCGGCAAACCTGGCAAATTCGATCACAACATGCTCCAATGCTGTAAGTGCAGGAACTGGTTTCACACCCAATGCATGCAGAACTTCAAGCGCAAGCTGCTGCGCGGCGACATGTAAGTGTGTCATACCATTTTTCCATATGCACCCAAAACCTTTTGTTAGCCCAAATAACAAAACAAGAATGATATATTATATTTCTCAGTATTCTTTGAAAAATTGACCAAATACCAAAGACCGCTAATAGTTTTTATATTATTTTATGAATGCCGTTTAAAGATAGTGGGCGTCCTTAGTGAACAATAGTTGCTCGACCTTTGCTATGAACGAGCGTAAGAAGTCCTGATTTGAACCGGGGAGGCAATGCCCAGATGCTTTATCTTATATTAAGGCTAGACGTTCATAGTGAATGTGCATAGTTGATTTGTCTTTCTCTAAGCAGGGCCTGCTTTTTGCGTCACTGTTAACTGTTTGGTGCCCTGTTTTCTAGATGACCGGTTGGTCTTTAGTCGTATCATCGGATAATTCCTGTTATATACGGTAACTGAGGGTCAGCAATCTCAGCTCCTCGAGGTATTTTGCTAAAGAAACAGAGGTTTCTGGACTTCGTTTGAAAATTAGATACCATGGCTTTCGCGAAGACCCACAGAATAGGCACTGCGCTCTTTGGGGAATCTAATCCGGCTCTTGCGAGCACGTCCGCAACTTTGTTGAAGAAGATAGGGGCGTGACCGGATAGAAGAGAAAGAGCGTGAATTGCAAAGTAGGGAGGAAAGTTCAAAGTTCAGAATATTTGTCCCTTACAGATTCTAAACCATGTACCTGTACAGATACAAAATTTCTCTGTCAAACATTCATTTTAAATGCATAACGAAATTAATATCATGAGTCAAACTAAACCAATTTGTACGAATTTTATCGCCGCAGCTTCTTTGTGTTCTGCTGCACTGTGTGCAACGATGGTGTTGAGTTTGTTCGTCGCCTGCAAATTGATTGGGTGGACATGCTGCATATAACGCTTTACAATTTGCGCAAGCATCAGCATCAGAAGTATCATCATTTGTTGAAGGATATTTGGCCGTTTATACTGGAGCAGCGGCATCAGTTACCCATTTGCGAGGAGTGGCGCCAGCTGCCTGAGACGGCACTCATGGAGCGTATTAAGCAAACGCTTAAAGAGTATTCGGATCGTTTCGTCTGTGGACGCGAATTTAAGCGTGCGCCTGCTTACTACGCGCTGCGTCACAGCGGACCACCATTGACACCGCGCGTGTTCCTGCAGCCAGAGGAGGTGCTCTGCGATGAGCTGTTAGTGAACAAGTTTAAATTGCTGCTGATGCCAGAAGAAGAACAGGAGCTGGAGCCGAAGGCACTTCAAGAGGGCGCAACCAAAACTGTGGCTACCAAGGATGTGTACGAGTTTCATACGGATGAGGACGAGGAGGAGGCGGCCGAGGCAGAGGCTGAAGCCGATACCAGCGAAGATGAAATACCCATCAAGCAGATTATGGAGAAGGTCAAAAAACAAAACAAGCAGCAGCCTGCGATAACAAACGAAGATCACCAGGTAGATTTTAAAACAAAGCCATTTTTGTTTTTAGATTAGTTACTATTACATTTTTCAATATGCCAGCAGATAAGCAATGCCCAGAAACGCACGCCTGATTTGGCCGATGACAATGCCAACGATGGTGAACCTAGCAAACTGTTGGCACCCGTTCCACCTCAGCTCGATGCAACCGTCAACGGCAACAGCAACAGCCGCAAACGCAAGGCATTCCGTTTGTCGAAACGCTACGACAACAGCCGCAACTGTGATCTCTCTTCAGATGAGAATTCAAGCAGCAGCCGTGGCACCAGCTCGCTGGATCTCATCATACCGCCGCCGGCCAATTTTCTCGGTCGCAACAATCCCTTCTTGATGGCCACACCCAAGAAATCAGCACAACAGCGCAATGGAAGCGTTGGCGCCGGCGCAGCTGGAGTTGCCGGCATCATCAATAGCATTTTCAAGCTTAAGAGCGTAAAGCAGTTGAGCAGCATTGAGCTGGCCAAGGCTACGGCGGCCGCGAACCAGCCTCGCATGGTGCGCACCATAAAGCGAAGACTGAGTGCCAAAGATATTACCATAGGGCCCAATCAGGAGGTGCGCAGAAGACGCACTCGACGCCTGACCACGGCCATTGAGGTAAGTTTGCAGTTGCTCAATTTTTGGTTATAGATTATTGATATTCCAATCCATGTTTATTTACATAGGTGATCAACACTACAACAATCAATCCTATACCCAGCCACTACTTTCCCATTTATGCCAAAGATTTGCAGCCGCCGGCCCCGCTGCTGCCGCCAGAGAAGCCGACCCATGGCCGTTTGCTGCGCCAGCGACCTCAAAAGTCGCGATGCGGCACGCCAACGAACAGTCGGCGCAACTCCACAAGCTCCACGGTTACCAATGGCAGCAGCAGCACCAGCAGCGGCGGTACGCCAGCCAATGGAAATTCAATGCTTGACCTAAAGCAATCGGTGAACAGATACTTTGGTGGCGCCATGAATCGTATCGATGCCGGCGAATCCTTTGCCATACGCGCCAAACGGCGCATGGGCAATGGACAGGTGCAGTATTTGGTGGAGTGGGGTAGCGATGCTGCTGTTGCTGTTACAAGCGGAACTCCAAGCGAAAACTGAGACTTTGGCACTTGATGCGTCTACTGATTACTTATTACTTTCATTTTATGGTATTTTCTCATTTATTGTTTAAGCCGAAAGTTTTCTGCCAGGTTTTTGGGCCCAATTTTTGTTTTGTTAATCTTAAATAACGCCACTGCCAAAATAGGAAAAATGTTTAGTACGAAATGTTTTTGGCATTAAAAAAAAGTACGCAACTGAATACAGGTTTTAATTGTGCAATGGCAGTTTCTTGTTGAAATAGGTAAAATGTAACTGAAACATCATTTTCTTTGTAAATCGATTTGGCACTTGAAAGTATTACAACATTAAACTGAAGCTATTGTTTAAATTTATTGCTGAATATGGGGAAACGTATTGAAGTATATCAATAAATAAATCTAATCGCCAGAATTGAAAGCAGTTTGCTGTATAGAATTAAGTTTCAGTTCCAACTACTTTATAGCTATTACTACATACATATTACTATATATATTTTTGAAAAATATATGTACTGTACTTGAACTAAATACATAAACTTAAACATACAAATTACAAATCATGTTATGCATACAAAATATATTTGAGGTATACTACGCATTAAAAAATTGAGCTAAAACAAAAGAAAAATACAAATTAGGGCTAATTAAATTTACCCATAGATTAGACATAATTCAATAATGGATAAATACAATTAAATATAAGTATTATGAAAATCCACACGAAATCAAAATCGAGTTGAACGCAAACAAAATCTCATGCATTAGCATTCGCAATTGCATTACAAAAGTAAACAAAAACATTTAAGCATTATTCTATATGTGTACAATAAACTTTTAAATAAATGTTTATACATAAGTGCATTGATATAACTAGCATGTGTGTTTATATCTTTGTATACTCTAAGCAGGAAATGGAGTAAAGCGAGAAACTGCTGTATCAATTTTCAATAAGAAAATAAACCCTATACACACGAAGATGACTCACACGAAAGCTCAACGAATACCGACTGTGCAAATGCCTTTCCAAAAGTTTGATAACATCAAGTAGGCGATGCAGGCATTGAAAAATGTTGACATTTTTGTTTAGCTCGTTGTCAGTCTTCCTGCCACCTCATTAGGAGACACACTAAGAAATTAAAAAATAGGTTTATTAGCCGAAAAAAAACTCAAAAAAATATTAAACAATTGGTTAGATGCAGTCATTTGTTTGGATTAATTGAGTGTTGTTTATTTCGTATAAAATACAAAAAACCAAAAAAATTTAACTAATCGAGTGCATTTAAACAACAAACGTTGTGTACTTGTGAATCCGCGCATTAAGCACGTCGCGTTGCGAAAGTCTTGCTACACCCCCCACCGACACCGGTAAGTTTAATCAGGGGAAAACCAGAAATGCACACACTGATATTAAGAAACTTCTGGAAAATTCCATGCAATCTTCCAGAAACATCTATGGTTAGAGTTTAAAAAGGGGGAAAAAAGGGTTTTGGAGTGGAGCTCTCTCAATTATAATAAGGTGTATATATATATTTTAATTTAGTATTCCTTTATTAAATGCTAAAAAAAATTGTATATTATTGGCAACATAAATTTACGTTTGCCTAAAATGTTCGGTGGAATTATAAAAAAAATGTTGATATTGACGATCTTTTAAAATCTTTTATTGCGGGTAACATGGATATAGAAAAGTTTGACGTAAATGTTGTAAAAGTAGTGTTGGCAAATACTAAAACAGTGTTCGATAAGGACAAGAACTAGCGAGCAACACTCATCTTACATTAGCGAGAACAAAATGTAGCGAGTTATTTTCTTCCCTCATCAAGTAGGCGAGTGATTTTATCGGCGAGTCGAGTAGAGTCCGTTTAAGTGAGCGGTCGTGGTTTCGCTTAGCACACGACTTATCACATATTTTTTGTGAAGAAAAAAAATCTTAAAAAAATAAAAAAAAAAATTAAAAATATAAAAAGCAACCAAAAAAATTGTAAAAAGTAGCAAAAAATTCGAGCAAGTGCTGAAAACGTAAGTACGATTGTAAATACAAAACCACGATACGAAACAAAGTCGAAATTTTCTTGTGAAATGTGATTCGTGTGCCACGCAAGATGGCGACGTAAGCTGCTGTCGTTCAAAAAGAGCGCAGTAAATTGAAAAGAAAACGAACAAAGACCCAGCCCATTGTCTGACTTGCAAGTTGAATTCTGTACTTATATTACTAAGGATTTATTACACAAATTAGAGTAAATTAATGATTGTAGTGCGGGCTAAAGGTTTACATGTGTATGTGTGCGCGCATGTGGAAATTTTCCAACATGCGTTCTGGATGTTCGTATTGGTGTGTGAAAGAGGGAAACACAGCAACAACAAAGCACATGCCTATGCCGCGCAGTGTTGCCATGTCGACCAATCGACCGCCGTTCAACTGTCACATGCGTCAGTATTGCCACAGAGACACGCACACATGCAGCAAACATTCTGAAAGCAAAAACCACGCCGCTTTTTTTTTTGTCACTGTGTTTTTGCATTTTTTTGTTTGCCTGTCTAAGGGACAGGGCGAAGCTTTGCATATCGAAATATACGTTTATTTTTCGCAGGAGGACCTAATCACCAAAAATGGCTTCTTTATACGTGGGTGATTTACACCAGGACATTAACGAAGCGGGACTATTTGAGAAGTTCTCCACTGCTGGCCCAGTTCTGTCCATTCGTGTCTGCCGCGACGTTGTTACCCGTCGCTCATTGGGCTATGCCTACGTCAATTTCCAGCAGCCAGCCGATGGTGAGTAATAGTTCCATAATAATGTAATTGTAAAATTTACAATGTGTACACCCATACATGCATTGCTAACACGGAGCTCCCTCAGTGACACCAGTAAAGAAAACACGTGTGCAATTTTTTGCACCGCACAAACACGATTGGAGCACTCGCTGGCTTTCGTGCGTGTGTATGTGTGTGTGTGTGTGTGTGTGTGTGTGAGCATTGAAATTCCAGTTTCTGAAAGTGAAAGAGAGAACTAAAAGGAGAAGGAAAAACAGCTGGTTATTGCTAGTCATCATTAGCAACTGGAAGTTTTATACAAAATGCAATTGTGATGCTATAATATTTAATTTCAACAATGGCTTATCGCACACGGCGCGCCCCTCTCTCCCAACGACTCGCAATGGCGTCATATTAGTTTTGCCTGCAACCATTGTTTCCAAGTGCCGCTCTCACAGTCGTGAACGCAGCTGTATATGGGAGAGTATGCGTGTATGTGTCATAAACATGTGTTTATTGTTTATGCTCGCGCCTTTTAAAATTAAACTCGCTGGAGATTTTTTTCTCTTTATTTATAGGTTATATTCGATTAGCAAATATTTGCACGTTTTGATATCTATTTTCGAGTGTCGCGTTGGCAAATTTTTGTCTTCCACTCTGTCAACACTCTGAGTGATATGACTTTGTTTTGCTTTCACTTTTTATGTAAAATGCAAGGCCAGTTGCCATAATGCCTGTGCATTCATGTGCCGCTCATTCATTAACACGTGTAAATTCTTGGCATGCCTAAGTCCATCAGATCACGACTCGACTCTAAACGATGTTTCTCTCTTTTGTTTTTACCAACGAAAACAAACTTAAACTTTCACCGCAGCAACTACAAAACTGCGCTTCACTCAGCTTTTGTCGTTGTTTACGAACGAAAGGTCGTTTACATTTTGGCTTTTATTGAATTAAGGCAAGCACCACTGTCCGTGGTGTGTGAAAGCGTAGACGCCGTATCGTCACATTCCGCTGAGTTTACTGAACTCCGACTGTTATGATTTGGATACGTTTTTGGAAGTTTTTCTTTCCTTAATTTTTGTTTTAAGGTTAGTGTAATACAAGCAACTTCTACCCATTGGTTGGTCAAAAGTCTTATATTTTGTGCTGACTAAGATTCAAAGTTGCAAGAATAATACGTGACTTACCGTGTAGATGAGGCACCGATTCTTATTTACAGAAGTAGAAGCGTAACAATTAAGTACATTTTTGAGAATAAGTTGAATGTGGCAACTTCTACCCATTGGTTGGTCAAAAATTTACAACCATTTTGAGCCGACTAAGATTCAAAGTTGCTAAATTAAATAGCGTAACTTACCATGTGAATGAGTCTACAGTAATCATTTGCAGAAGTAGAAGCGTTACAATTAATTACATTTAATTAAGAATAAATAAAGGTTCGCAACTTCTACCCATTGGTTGGTCAAAAGTCTTATATTTTGTGCTGACTAAGATTCAAAGTTGCAAGAATAATACGTGACTTACCGTGTAGATGAGGCTCCGATTCTTATTTACAGAAGTAGAAGCGTTACAATTTAGTACATTTTTGCGAATAAGTTAAATGAGGCAACTTCTACCCATTGGTTGGTCAAAAGTCTTATATTTTGTGCTGACTAAGATTCAAAGTTGCAAGAATAAACACCGCAACTTACCATGTCAATGAGTCTACAGTTATCATTTACAAAAATTGAAGCGTTACAGATTGCAAATAGAAGTAGTTCATAATTATAAATGCCAAACTAACTTTAGGTAAATTATACAAGTGGGTTGATCAAACATCTTTCTGTTTTAGATGCATAAGATTTAAAGCTGCCGGAGAAATGCTTACAAAATATACAAAAAAATGAATAATATTTATAATAGAATATTTCCCATTAATTTGGGGTTAAAATTAACGCAAAGCTGCTGCAATTTGCATATAAACAAAAGTACTTTTCTTTCTTCTGTTAATTAAATTTAAACAAGTATTTTAAAATGTTTCGTCTTTATTTCTTCTTTATCAGCTGAGCGTGCTTTGGATACAATGAATTTTGATTTGATTCGCAACAAGCCCATACGCATTATGTGGTCGCAACGCGATCCATCACTGCGCCGCTCCGGAGTTGGCAATGTGTTTATCAAGAACCTGGATAAGGCAATTGATAACAAGGCTATTTATGACACTTTCTCCGCGTTTGGAAACATTTTGAGCTGTAAAGTAGCTACCGATGAAAAGGGCAACTCCAAGGGCTACGGATTTGTCCATTTTGAAACAGAGGAGGCAGCGAATACGTCCATTGATAAGGTCAACGGCATGTTGCTTAACGGCAAGAAGGTCTACGTCGGCAAATTCATTCCTCGCAAGGAGCGCGAGAAGGAGCTCGGCGAGAAGGCCAAGCTCTTCACAAATGTCTACGTTAAAAACTTTACCGAGGAGTTTGATGATGAGAAGCTGAAGGAATTCTTTGAGCCATACGGCAAGATTACCAGCTACAAAGTAAGTTAGCGGAATGCCTACAAATAATATGTTGTTTTATTTCCCTTTTTACTTTTCAGGTCATGTCCAAGGAAGATGGCAAGAGCAAGGGCTTCGGCTTCGTTGCCTACGAAACAACAGAGGCTGCTGAGGCCGCCGTGCAAGCGCTCAATGGCAAAGATATGGGCGAGGGCAAATCTCTTTATGTTGCCCGTGCACAAAAGAAGGCCGAGCGCCAACAGGAGTTGAAACGCAAATTTGAGGAGCTAAAGAAGAAGCGTCACGAGTCCGTGTTCGGTGTGAATCTGTACGTCAAGAATTTGGACGATTCCATTGACGACGAGCGCCTGCGTAAAGAGTTCTCGCTATATGGAACAATCACCTCGGCTAAGGTTATGACTGACGAGGAGGGCCGCTCCAAGGGTTTTGGATTTGTTTGCTTCATTTCACCCAATGAGGCCACTTGCGCCGTGACTGAACTAAACGGCCGTGTCGTGGGCAGCAAGCCATTGTATGTAGCACTGGCCCAGCGTAAGGAGGAGCGCAAGGCGCACCTTGCATCACAGTATATGCGTCACATGACCGGCATGCGTATGCAGCAGTTGGGACAGTTATTCCAACCCAATACCGCTAGCGGTTTCTTCGTACCCACAATGGCGCCCAGCCAACGTTTCTTTGGCCCACAGATGACCACACAGATGCGCAGCACGCCACGCTGGGCACAACAGATGCGCCCCGCCACAGCGGTGCAGAGTGTACAGGCCGGCGCCGCTTCAGCTGCTGCCTCAGCCGCTGCCGGTGGCTTCCAGGGTGCAGCCGGTGCTGTGCCAACTCAGTTCCGTCAGTCCGGAGCCGGAGCGCGCGGTGCACAGCCCCAGCAGGTGCAGGGCACCCACGCTGCAGCTGCTGCCGCCGCTGCAGCCAACAATATGCGCAGCTCTGGCGCACGCGCTATCACAGGCCAGCAATCGGTGGCCGCTCCCAACATGCAAATCGCTGGCGCTCAAATTGCCGGCGGAGCTCAGCAGCGTGCTGCAAGCTACAAGTACACCGCCAACATGCGTAACCCGCCAGTACAACAGATGCAACAGGCCCAGCCGATGCCACAGCAGCTGCAGGGCAAAAGTAAGTATATGAATCTAACTTATCCACAACACTTTTTTAATTCACGCCTATAATTTTGCTTTGCAGACCAAGAGAAGCTTATTGCCTCATTGCTGGCTAATGCCAAGCCACAGGAGGCGAAACAGATCTTGGGCGAGCGTCTGTATCCAATGATTGAGCGCATGCATGCCGCACTGGCTGGAAAAATCACTGGCATGTTGCTGGAGATTGAGAACTCAGAGCTTTTGCACATGCTGGAAGATCAGGAGGCACTCAAGGCCAAGGTTGAGGAGGCAGTCGCTGTGCTCCAGGTGCATCGCGTCACTGAGCCCGCAAACTAAGCTCGAACAACAAAGCGGATTTAAAATTTTTTATAAATCACTCGACACCCAAAAATGTACGTATTACATTATACAGTGAACAATCTGCTAACAGTTTGTTTTATATTATATTTATATATATTTTATATTTCCAGTTTTTTCCCACATTCACTTTCAATTTTAAAAATTAAAAAAAAAAAAACCAAAAGGAACACATGAATTCGCATTGATGCTCAAGCAAAGAAAAAACGCAGCGAATGACACAAGAAATATAACAAGAATAGGATGAACAATAAACTTGATGGCTAAAAGAAGATGAGAGGAAAGCTCCAAAATAGCCGACTATTTACTCTTTTCCGTTAGGGCAACGACATAAAAACAATTTCAATCATTTAATTTCGAACGCATTTACGCATGACCACAACGCAGAGGAAATTAGCTACCTGCTTACAACAAAGGAAACAAAATGCATCAGGCGCAGATGTTTTTTTTTATATATATATATTTTTCATTCTTTTGGATTTTCAAACTAAAATGAAAAGAGAAAAAAAAACAACAAAAAACGAAAAATATGTACGTTTAGAAACATTTTATATACATATTTTTCCCTGTATATATATATAATATATATATATATATATATATTTATTTTTTTTGCTTGAACTGAGATGTTTATTTTGTATGCGTAAACAAAATGCAGAATAAATAATTATAAATGCAAATGGCAAATAATTGAAATTGTTAAGCCTGTCGGCAAGTTTCTTGTTACATCAACACAACAACAAAAAATTTAAATACTTTTCTTACGCTAGTATACTACACATCTTTCAAACAACATCAAACAAACATGAAAGTCGATGTAATATTTTTTCTGTCATTTCAAAAGAAAAACCTACTTTTAAAAAAGAAGAAAAAAGAATACAAAAAAATTGCAAAAATGTTAAAATAAATAAAAACGAAAAAATGTAAAAGTAAACACGAGAGATATAGAGCAGAAGAAATATACCAACAACCAACCGCAAGAATATGAGAGTCAAGTTTTTGCTACTTTGAAAACCAACAAAAATCAATATGTTGAGAAAAAATACAATTTTAAAAAAAGAAAAATATAAAAACAAAAAATCTTACAAAAAAATTGAAAAATCGATGTAAAAATACAAAAAAAAAAAAATATACATATATATGTATATATATAAACATATATGAGAAATACACGAAAACATGAAGGCGCTAAAGCGCGAAACAGAACGTGTGGAAAATAAGGTTGACAGGAGAAATGCGATCAAGCAGGATTTTTATGTTTATTAAAAAAGAATTAAAAAATAAAAACATTACAATTTGCATATATATATATATTAAAAGAAAAAGCAAAACATGTGTAAAGCAAGCGGGACGCCAAGTTATTTTTTATTATTTGCGTTCAGCCTTTTGTTAAATGGAGGATGTTTTTACACCATAAATACGAGTATATTAAAGCAAAAGAATAAAAATAAAAAGAATAGGCCATGCCCAAGTAGCATGCTGTGAAATTCATATTTTTTTAATAAATAAAATGAAAAAGAAAAAAAATAAAAAACATTTGAAAAAATTGCAAAACACGAAAACATTTATACGCAAACAGCTGCAAAAAATATTACAAATATAACAAAAACAAAAGCAACACATAACCAAAACCCGATTTGGAATATTCAAATGTTCATTTTTGTGCGTAACCTTTTACTTTTTATAAAATATAATACACATACACACACACACACACTTGAATACATAATATATATATAACAGATATAAACAACCAATAATTTGTAAAATTCAAGATATATTTGTTAACAAACTCGATTGCACTTTGAAGATTGAGCTACAAACTTCGATATGTAGGCGCCGCTTTGAGCCAACCAAATATATGTTCGAATGAATTGTAGAAAAGGCGCACAGCGAGCAGTGAAAAAAGAGCAGAGCATAAAATTTGTACACCCTGAAAATTTCATTAAATAAAATTCCACTTCGGCAAAAACAAAGAAAATGCATATTTTTTCTAGTAATTTAAGTTTACAGCAGGCTTCCTGGCCAAAGCCCGATTCCTGGCTTGAATTAACTTACAATGTGGGTCGGTCCTACAAGCATGCGACCCGCAGAAGCCTCTTCAAGATTTGTGCGTATAAAGACGTACATATATATTTATTTTTATATCGTCTGATAAGTTTATATAACAAATCGCACATGCTCACGCGTTTAATTTTTATGCGTTTTATTTAATGTGCTAACAATAGTCTTTATAAAGAGAGCTTGGCAGATATTTTCTTCGATTTTTGCAGTAGTTAACAGAATCAAAAAGCAAATCGAACGTAGAGTCATTATCCTTAAAGTTATATTAGATTTAATATTACAAAATGGATAAAGTGAGATGAATAAACTTTTGGCTTTTGCTGGGTTAACAAAAGGAAGCAGACTCCAAGTTGTTGTCTAATCCAATCGTGACTAGGGCATGCTCCAATTGGCGTTCCCGTCGCGTACTTTAGTCCTCATCATCGTCGTCGTCGGCGGGCACAAACAAATCGTTCTCCTCCAAAAAGTTTGCCACGTTCTTGCTGATGGTGGCGCCCACAAATAGTCCAGGAATCACGGCACAGAAGATAGCCAACAGCCCAAAGGGCATCTCCGATGGTTTTGGCTTAAAGGCACCGCTACGGAAAGTAACACCTGACATCCGACGACGCACAATGTTGTTGTTGCAGGCAGTTTGTTGGGCAAATTTATGAAGGGCTACATTAAGCGGATACGCTAGCCTGGAAACACTCATGGCGATGTCCTTTAACGCGCTATATGTGTCTAGAAATATATATTTATATTTTTTATAAATGTCAACTTTTGCTATATGTATGTAACGCAGCAGAAACTTGTTATGGTCGGCCGATGTCAAATGTGCATACCATCGAGATTCGTATAAGAAAATCGATGCCGATACTTTATGCGTCACCAACACTGCCAACATTATTGAATCAGCTGGCTAGATAATAAAAAAGAGTGTTGCACAGCGCAAGAAGAGCGCGTAACTCAAATAATAAACCGTGCTATCTTTTTAGATAAAACTGCTTTATTAATGTTGCTCTCATTTTACAATTTATAGGTTTGTGTGTGTATATATTGCAGAGCGTTTATAAATGCCCATGGGTTACATTTTTGTATGTATATGTATAAATATATATTTACTTTCAACTAGTAAAAGTTACAAATTTAGCCATTGATTGCGCCTTTTAATACATCGATTTAAGTGTATTAAATTTACTCCGTTTCATTATGTTTGTTATGGTTTACTGTGTACTTATATTATTCATATTGATTATATAGAATTGTGCACAATTGCTTGCTACACAATGCACATACTTGAATGTCAAAGCAGATTAAAAATTTATTGATTTAATAACAAAGACAATGTTTATGAATAATGCAACTTAGGTATAGTAGCTGAAATCGTTATGAAACAAATATGCATAGAGCATATATATATATTTAAAAAATTGGAACTAAGTGTGTACACAAGTTTATAAATTTGTGAAGCTGTTTTATGCTTTGCGCACTCGTCGTAAATACGTAAATACTTTTTGCTGATTATGAAAATTGCGTAGGAAACGGTTTGCGGACGTTTGTTGATCTTAATATATAAACAACTTAAATAATAGGCAAATTTATGTGTTATTTCTATGTAGCGTTTTGTGATACTTTTTTTTTTGTAAAACAGATAAAGGCATATGACAGAACGATCTTTTAAAAGAGAACTTCGAAGTTTTCGAAATGTTCTATTTTTAGGTCATTCTTTTTTATCTATATATGTAAACTTAAAAACAATTAATAATTGCACTAAACATACAAATTAAACAAAAATAAATACATACATAAATAAATTACAATACAACTTTGAACGTTGCTAAAAAAACAAAATGAACCCTTTCAACATTAACAACTGAACATTATTTTGGCTATATTTTGATTTTGATTTTGCTTTACGGAAAACTGATGAGATAAGCTTAAAAATGTTGTTTCTCTTTTACAAATGTTTTGGCCTATTAATAATGCGAAACACCTGATAAACAGACCACTTGTCCGCTAAATCTTTATTTCTAGCCTGAATCATTATCGATAAAGAAAAAGGTGCGCTACAGCACGAGTCAGAAATAATTGGGTAATAAAACAAATCTATGAAGAATGTTTAAGTAATTAACTCTCGAGCCCAGTGCACCAATAAATACTTGTACATCAACAAATTACATCTCAATATATATGTATGTATATAGGACAGACAATAGTTAAGCATAGTTAGCCCCGCTCGTATTATCGATAAGACCGATTCGCAATTTGTTATGCAGCAATGACACCTGTTGTATTAACACATTTTGCTCACTTTTTAGACACAATTATTAAATTGTTAGCAATTCGTTTAACACGTGTCCATAACAAATTCAATTCATCATTTTTCTAAACCGAAATTGCAATTTTCAGAGCGTTACAATTTAATTGACACAAACAAAAACATGACTTCTTTAAAATGGGGACACGTTGATAATTTAACTGATTGATAATTTATGGTGAAAATTGCAATTTTCTTGTGACATGGGCGGGGCTGGGCTGGTCTGGGCGTGGCAAACGTTATGGCAGAGGCCGGAGATGCCGTGGATAGCGTTTGCAGCTTTAATCAAATTCGGAAATGGGTGCACGGCTGCTGCTGCTGTTGCTGCATCTGCTTCTGCTGTTGCGATTCAAATCGATCTGCTTGACGGCGCTGGGCGTGTTGGCAGCTGACGAGGACGACGATGATTCATCGCTAGGTCATAAGTCCTGAAAGCGTCGCACATCCTCCCAATAGTGTGCGGGTATCTCGAACAGTTTGGCGGGTATATTGTCGCGAAACTCAAACTTTTGAAATGTCACCTTGGCGGTGACCGTGTGCAGCACGGGTATTTCAATCTTAACGGGAAAGCCCGTGGGCAGTTTGAGCGTGACAAACTCGCGTAGCTTATTGATATGCTTGAGCGGTGCCACCACCTCGAGCACATCCAGCAGCATGTCCACACTGAGCGGAAAATCGGCGCTCATCGCAACGGTAGCGCGTAGCGTTTTGTTGGACTGTTTGTTGACCGGAGTGCGTCCCAGTGGCGGGCATTTACCCACGGGCGCATTTATATACTCCGACCAGGTGATCGTTGTGGTGGGCGGCGGCTGCAGCGAGCTGCGGCGCGGCAGCTCTGGCAATGTTAGGGTACTGCCAGTTGTGGGCGTTGTTGCCGCATTCGAATCCGATTGGCTGCCGCCTTTGGTGATTGTCTCGACAATGGCGCGATTCTTTTGCAAATCCTCGTTAGACAAATGCTCCCGCCGCTTGCGCTGCTTCAGCACTAGCCCCTGTATGGTATAGATTTCGCATTGATATTGTCCACCTATCAGTTCCTTGCGATTGGCCCTGAACAGCCAGCCGCGTTGAGCGCGCGCAAATTGTATTGTCTTTGTGGACATCTGGGTGGCCAATATGTCGGTGGACATGAGCACATCCACCTCATCTTCCATGTCCGATTCCTCGTAGCGCAGACGCTGATAGCATTGCTGTTCATTATCCAACAGCACTAGGGATTCATTGGGCGCTGCCTCGCCGCGAAATAGAAACGAAATATCGCCACGATCCCAGCGCATATCATTGAAGTCCACTAACGTTGTGTCAAGGCGCAGTGAAGCGCCACATTTATACAGTCGGCAAATGTCCGAGGGCAGAATGCGTGAGACGAGCGGTAGCCACGACTGAAAGTCCCATTTGAACTCCATATAAAAGTCCTGCATTTGACGCAGTGCCTGCACGAGTCGTTCGCGACGGCTTTCCATGTGCTCGCGCGACTGCAGCTTCAGCATGCGCAGCAGCTGGGTAATGGTCTGTCGGTGGCCGTAGCTGATGGCCTCGGCCAGTGGTGACCAGCCCTCATTGTTTTTCACTTTGACGGGGGCATTGTTGGCCAGCAGCAAACGGACACAGCAGGTGCGACCCAGCATGACGGCCAAGTGAAGGGGCGTATTGCCGTGCATGTCCTTTTCGGCCAACTCTTTTGGACCAGTGGTCAGAAGCAGGCGACGCTGCAGCGTTCGTATATCGTTCTCGAAAACGCTGCGATGCATTGGATACTCGACACAATCGTCGGGCACTGGGGCAGGTGCGGGGGCAGTTTTCCGTGTTGTTGTTGTTGTATCGTCATCGTCGTCACCCTCTCCCGCCGATTGATACTCATCCGATTCCGACTCCTCATCGGGTGACCCACTGTTTGTTGTCTGTTTTGTGTGTTCTACTTTCCGATTTTTGTCACACTCGTCCACTTTTTCGTTGGACATGTTTTACTCACCGTATCTTTATCAAACACTTTTTGCATACAGTTTTCTTTCATACAAAAAATTGCTATTTTGCTGCCCAAAATTGCTCTGTTTATTGATTATTATTAGCGATGGACTAAGTGTAGCACTGTGTCCAACATAACGATAAGGTATCGATAAACTCAATTTTTTTCATTTGATGAGTAAATTTACTAAGCGCAGTAAAGTAGCTTATCCGATTAAACATCACCAGCGATTTAAATGGGTATTTATGCAAATGCCGACATTAATTAAACAAAAGCAAACAAATGAAAGCTAACAAGCCCCTGTCAACTTCATGTCATTTCAAAATAATTAAATCCGTAGTTTGACATTTAGCACATACATACATACATATATATGCGTGTCGATATATGCATGTCTTTCGCTTCCACTCTTCTTAACGGTAAATATGGCTGAAGATATTCGTAAATCACATTTTCAGTGCTTTATGCATACCCTTCGCCCATCCCTAGTGTGGCTCATACACGTTAAAACACTATTTCGTACTAAAAAGTTATGAGTTGTTTATAAACTTTTCGTTTCAAATATCTGAGCAGTGAGTGTGGATTCTATGCTAAAATATTTATTAAAAACGTCGGACAATTTAATTGCAAACTGGAATTGCATCTGATTGCATCGTGTATGGGCCGCACGTAACAAAACCAAAATAAAAGGAAAAGAAATAACAAACACACAGCAGGCGAGGCGAATCAAAACGGGCAACTGCAAACGGCAAAGGCAAGGCAACATGCAGTAATAAATTGAGCAAGTTTCATAATCCTCCAAACAATTCGTAGATAGATTATGTCGAGCGATGAACTGCTGTGGCGTACTAAGTATTCAAGTTCGCGTTATCAACGCCACGAGAGCGCAGAGCAGCGGACGCCCTTGAATGCCAGCGCGTTGCACTGGCAGCGACAACAATTTGGTTGCGATGTGGACGAGCAGCTGCGTCGCCGGCTGCAAGCATCGCCAGCATACATCGATCGGCTCGAACAGGAGACGTTGCTGACCGGGCACGACGGCTGTGTCAACTGTCTAGAGTGGACAGATGATGGCATGCTATTGGCGTCAGGTTCTGATGATTACAAAGTCATGATCTGGGATCCGTTTCGAAAGCGGCGCATCCAAACGATAAACACGAAACATCTGGGCAACATATTTTCCGTAAAGTTTCTCCCACGTCACAACAACAGCATTGTGGCCACCTGTGGCGCCGACAAGTATATCTATGTCTATGACATTAATCACGGCAATGAGACCTTGTTTACCTGCAATTGCCACACGATGCGCGTTAAGCGTCTGGCCACGGCGCCCGATTCGCCACACATTTTCTGGTCCGCCGGCGAGGATGGCAGCATACTACAATTGGACATGCGTGAGGCACATCGCTGTCGCGGCCCTGATGATCAGCAACCAACGACGGGAGGCGTACGACTCCTAAGCCTTTGCACTCAGGTCGAGTCGACAACGGAGGCCAAGTGCCTGGCTATCAATCCACGACGAACCGAGTATCTTGCAGTGGGTGCCAATGATCCGTATGCGCGCGTCTTTGATCGCCGAATGCTACCAGGTGAAGGTAATTGCAGAAGTGTACCGTGCTCTCGGCACATCTTCTCTTTAAGGAATTTATTAAGCTCTGTGTTTATTTTGTAGCAAACAGCTGTGTCTCCTTCTATGCCCCCGGTCAAATTGTGAAGAACATCACACGCAACATCGTGCACGAGTCGCGCACTGTCACCTATCTGACATTCAACAACTACAACACAACGGAGCTTCTGGTAAATATGGGCTGTGAGCATATCTATCGCTATGATCTACACAATGCCACGCCACCAAAGTTCTACGAACTGCCTGAATACACAGCATCGCCGCCGCCCACCGAGGCGGAGCATGTGGAAGCGGCGGTTGGCACTGATGAAAAGCCAGAAATCAGGACGACCAAAAAGCAGCAAAAGCGTCGCACATTGCCAACGAGTATTGAACAGCACAAGAAGCTGGGTAACGAGCATCTGGAAAATGGCAAATTGCTGGCCGCGATAGATACGTATTCTGCGGCACTAGCGGAATATCCGCGGGGGGAGGTGCTTTATTTGAATCGGGCTACGGCACTGATGCGTCGCGGTTGGTTTGGCGATATATATGCGGCGCTGCGAGATTGCCACGAGGCGTTACGTTTGGATCCCACTTATGTGAAAGCGCATTTTCGATTGGCCCGTGCCCTGCTTGAGCTGCACCGGCCTCAGGAAGCGGACAAGTGCTTGCAAGAGCTGATAGAGCGCTTTCCAAGCTTTGCCAACAATCATGGTGTGCTGATGCTGCACAAGGACATACGAGAGTATCGACAGCAGCAATCGCAGACCACTGGTCAAACGTCCGATCATGAACCGGTGCTCATTGAGAGCGGATTCCGCTATCTACGCCTGACCGATGATGAGTATGCGCAACGGCGTGCCGCCAAGGATTACAAACAGCGATATGTGGGTCATTGCAACATCACGACGGACATTAAGGAGGCCAACTATTTGGGCCTTAACGGCGAGTTCATTGCCGCCGGCTCCGATGACGGCAACTTTTACATTTGGGAAGGTGAAACGGCAAAAATACGTGCCGTCTATCGCGCTGACAGTGCCATCGTCAACTGCGTGCAGCCGCATCCAAGTATTTGCATGTTGGCCACCAGCGGCATCGATCATGATATCAAAATCTGGTCACCGTGCGCGCCGAGCGCCGCGGAGCGACCCAATCTCGTTGCGGACGTCACGCGCTATGTTGAGAATAATCAGGAAAAAATGCGCACTGATCCCTTCGAAGCGAATACGCGTAATGCGTATTGTTTTAATAATTAAATATAAGCACATCTAGTATAATGTAAATTAGTTTTTAAATTCAAATTGCAATACAATTCATGCAATAATAGGCCACTTCTCCGATCCTGTCTACTCGCGAAACTAGGGAGTATAAATACATAAAACTAACTAATAGGGTAATTTGCGAAAACCACTATCAATTTTGTTAAATTGTCAAAGAAATATAATTATAGAAACAAACCAAGCATATGGAAATGGTATGTCGAAATCAAAGAAATAAAAATTCTAAGAATTGCAATTTCTGGTTAATAATAATCTGAGAGAATGAAAAAACGCAATAACGCGAATAACGAATAGATCAATTACATTATACAATCTATTAAAAAGTCGCCTTTTAATTAAAAAACAAAAAATTCCTGGTCCGATAAGTTTTTTAATTGTGTAAAAGAAATTCTATAGCAAAAACAGATTGCATTGAATTAATTTGAAGTCTTTTATATATTTTTGGAATTATTCTGTTTATTTATCGTAGTTATTTAAATCTATGCTCACATGTATACATATACATACATATAAATATTTTACTTTATGTAATAATATTCAAGTATCGCTTTTCTCTTGTTTTTAATTATTTTGTTTTTTTTTTTTTCAAGTTTATTTAAAAAACTAAGTAGAATTGATAGCTTCACATACAAGTTTCTATCTTCATATCGCAATCGGTAAACGTTGTTGTTGTTACAAATATTTTATGGTATGAATGCTGAATAATGTTTTAGAACAATTTAAAGTACTTAAAATTTTGCGTTAAGTAAGGTGTTTAGTTATACATAATTAATATTTTTCTTTCTGTCCTTGAGTGTGTGTCGTGTGTGTGTGTGTGTTGTGTGTGTGTGTGTGTGAAGAGCGTGACATGTGGATTTTAGTAAGTTGCTTAAAATCTAACTGAATGTGTTGTAAATATTCGCGGCCATGCGGATGATTTTTAACGTTCTACTTGCACATTTTTTTCACATTATATTATGTATAATTATGTTTCTATATATTTTTTTTTATGAATTCTCTTTTAATTACTTTACAAAAGTGCGTAGTTTTCTCATTCTTTTGTTTTGTAGGGTTGTCCATATTTTGCTTTTTATACAGTGTTTTTTTTTCTTTGTTTATTTTTAAGAATAGTATATTACAAACTATTTTATGATGAAATTAAAAATACGATTCAAATCAAATTCAATGGGTCGACAGTGTTCATAAATATTGCAAATCTGTTGATCTATAAAGGAGGTGAGGGTAGGAGGGGACTCATAAAATCGTAAACGTTACTTTTTGTTTGAACTATCGTATATCTGTCAACTTTGTGTGCCTGTGGGTGTGCATTGGTTTTTGAAATGAACCTTGTGTGTATATCTCAAATGGTGTTTTGCTATGTTCCACTATTTTCTTTCTTTTGTTGGAATTTTGTTTTCTTGCTTGCATATATAAGTTCTTATAGTTGTGTTTATTTGTTTTTATTTGTTTAAATACCATCAACCCTCCCGCTTTATAGAACTAGGTGTCTCTGCCAGACCTTTCACTTTGAGTCGATCGGCGGTTTTAAGAAATGCCGGCAGCTGCTCTTGCGACACATTTACTTCGCCGGCATACATAAACTCCAGTATTGCCTGCAGGTGTATGTAGGACACATCTTTCAGTATGATAATGGGATGCTTCGAGGGATTCTCCTTTAAAAACAATAATCTGATTAGGACTATCGCGTCAAATGTACTTTTAATAAGACTTACTTCCAATAGCGCCTTAAAGTAGGGACTGCAAGCTGAAAGCACCATTTTGTGTGCTTTGCAGGTTTGGCCTTCGCAGGCGAGTGTTACCTGTACGGAAATATTAAAGATAATCAGTTAGAGAGCACAACATTTTCCCCAGCCCGCATAAAAGCATAACAAAGCATATGAATGGTTAACAGAAAACGAAAAATATAATAGAAAGAAGCTCAACAGATAGGCAGGTAGATAATTACAAGTATGAATGGAGTTAGAATTCATCCGAAAATATTAAAGCAAAAGTCAGTTGGTATTTGGAAACCTAATGTTGAGGTCACAGGTGTTTGGCTTACTTATACATTGAAAGCTTAATACACACTGTGGTGCGTCCGTCAAAAGAATCTGAAGAATTTGAAACATAAGCGATACTTACATCTGTGAAGCTCTTCTCATCGCGCAAGTGACGGAACGAGGTCACCATATTCGTTTGAAAATCGTTCCATTTTAGAAAAAACTGTTGGTCCGACGACATCATGTAGAAGCTTTTGTTATTATAGCTGGGGGAGCGTTAAAGGGAAACGCGCGCTCACAGTTCTGTTACAGGCAGGAGAATTGAAAATTTAGACGCGCGGCCAAAATGACTCCAATAGAATAGCTCTTTACTTCGGTTCAGTGTTTTCAAACTATTTCCCTTGAGTTCTGCAAAAGAAATACAAATGAAAAGAAAATAAAAACAAAAGCCTGACTTTGGCACTCTAAAACTAAATAAGCACAAACTTGGCGAAATTTTTGTGCGAAAAAGCACACAGCTCGCATCGAGTGTACCCGTCGTGAGAGCCGAGCCAAACTTGCAAATTGCGAAAGAGCAGGCAGCCGCGCTGACGCTGTCGCTATCGCTGGTGAAGTCTTAAGCGTTGCACAACCGACGACGACGACGACGACAACAGCGACGACTCACAGTCAAAAACATTCTATACAATAGCAAAAAGTGTTTTGCGCAGACGCAATGTGCTGCAGCGGGCATGGAATGTACTGTGTGTGTTGGAAAATGTCAAATGTGCAAAGCTGGCCCGCAGTAACAAAGTAAGAAAAAAAAAGAATAACAAGAGAGCGACAAAGGTTAAACAAAATATCAAAGACTCGCTCGCTCGAGCGCTCACATTGAATGCCTTTCACTTTTCAAGGCAATTTCTGCATTTTAGTAATTTGCGTTGCTTATTTGAATTTTCAGTTGCTCCCGCACAGTGGGCTTATCGATTCACATCTATACGTATGTGTGTAGATACATTTATGCACATGGAAAATAACAGAAACTTTTAAATGCATATGGACAGGGCTATAATAATTTAAAGGCTACCACATTGAACATTTTTAGAATTTAAATTATATAAAAAAGAAAAAGGTCGTTTATTTAAATAAATGGAGCCACCGTCAGTGCCCCAGTGTGCAGACAACATGTGTTGCGGTTGCGATAGCTGCTGGGACCAGCTTGTCGACGCTGCCATATGCGCTACACTTGCGCCGGCTCTGTGTGGGCGGCCTGAGACCCTAACAGTGTAGCGAGTACAAACTTCGTGTAAGCATTAGGTTTACAGCAGCGGCTCACACATACATGTCAATCCATATACACTCAGTACACACACATACACACACTTGGCTAAGCGCTCTCAACTTTCAACTGCCGTTATGATTTCGCAATTACATTACAACAGCAACCAAAACAACAAAAACAACGAAGACGACGAGGGCAGACATTTGCTGGAAATTTCAGCTACATTTGTGTGCGTGTATTTATAAAATGCGACTATCTCACTTGCACTAGTTTAGAAGCAGTTAGGCAGCGCGGCAATAAGAAAAGTTGTTGAGTGATGTTGAAACTGTCTAATTTGTATAACTATTGGCCGAGTATTGATTTTTCCCTCTTTTTTGATTGCACACCAGCAAGCAAAAAACACCCACAATTGCTTACATATGTTTATTTCTTCATAAAGAAAATACCAGTTTTGAAGTTGAGCAAAGACAACAGAGAAGAAAAAAGTGACGGCAGCCACAACAATTTGAAACGAGTTCGAACGAAAGTTGCAACACTCACGAAATTGATGAGCCGCTCTCGCAAAGGTTGTTGCTGTTGTTGTTGTCGTGTATTACTCAACATGGCGCTCACAACAACCAAATAGGATGAGGCGAAGGAACGAACTACTCAAAATTCACTGAAGAAGAAATGTGCGAGAGTCGCTGCTGCCTAGATAATGGCGGCGGCAACGGCGACGGCAACAGCGGCAACTCTTCGTGGCATGCCACAACAACAAATGCTCGGGTTTTCATTGCATTGGTAATTTGCCATTTGCACGTTTCTGGTGCTTCTGTATTGTTATATTTGTACTTGTTTATGCAAATATTATTGTAATATGTAGTTTAAAATTAGGTCGCGCTTCGTTTTACTTTGATTCACACACACTGACACATGCACGCGCACACGAACGCACTATACATCAGGCACACAGTTGCACACGCACACACACACATACACTTGTCTTTTTTCTACACTTTCCTAATCACTATTTGCCTTGCACTCTGTACTTTTACCAATGCGTATTGTGTGCAATTGAATAATGATCATTGCAAATGCATTTTGTATGCGCTATGTCCACGTTTTTCTTGCCTTTTTTGTTTCAATTTAATACATACACGCTTTTTTAGCACGCACTCACTCACCTTCTGTACACGCTCTGCTTTCGCTAATGCTTGCTTTGCTGCTTTCTTTTTTCTCTTTTCCGACGAGTGTTTTTTGCTTTTTCTGCTGCGCTTTACAACACTGCTAACACATTACGTTGTTACATAGCACTGACAGTCAACAGTTTTGTAGCGATGAGACTGAGTTCGTATATTTAGGCCCTAAGATGTTGAGAACATCGCGTTTTTTAAAGAAATTAAATGAAAATATTAACTGCTCTTGCAAAAGGCTACAAAACACAACAGTTAATGAAAAGCAGAGCTTTCGCCAAAAGGCTTGGCAAGCGGCTCGCCAACGCTATGGTAACTATGAGCACGTGCACTACAGCTCGTTCCTCGAGTACAACTTGGGTCAGCTGAATAAATTTCATCAAACGAATCAAACGGCTTTTCCACCATTGGAGGCGTTGCGTGGCATGGAGAGTGAACTGACAGTAAAAAACGTTTCATCATATCCACACAATTGGATGGAGGACTATGAGTTCTATAAGGGTGCAAGCGATGAGGCGGGCAACATTGATGCCCAACATGGAACGCCCGATGCAACAGTGCAGCCATCAACTGTGCCTTGCAATGGCTGTGGAGCACATTTGCACTGTGTCAGTAGCTCCTTGCCTGGCTACATACCCAGCGAAATATTCAAGGTATAAATATGCTTACTTTTTGTATACGTTTTTAAGTACTAATTAAATATTCTATGTATTATAAAGGGCCGCACGATATCCGAGCTACAGACCATTACCTGCCAGCGCTGCCATTTCCTTGAGCACTATAATATCGCATTAGACGTGGAAGTGCCGCCCTCGGTGTACGTGGAAACCATTTCGCGCATACAGGACAAGTATGCTTTGGCTATTATTATCGTCGATCTGCTGGATTTGCCCAGCTCAATTTGGCCGGGCATGCAACAAATTCTTGGCAGCAAGCGACCAGTTTTTCTGGTGGGAAATAAGGTAGATTTGCTGCCGCGCGACTCTAACAGCTATTTGACACATGTGAAAAGCTGTCTCAAGCAGCAGTTCGTACAATACGGCGGCTTTGACGCACTTAACATTAAGAATATCAGTCTTATATCGGCCAAGACTGGCTACGGCATTGAGGAGCTCATAACACAGCTGCACAAGATTTGGCAATATAAGGGCGATGTGTATTTGCTGGGCTGTACCAATGTGGGCAAGAGCTCGCTTTTCAATATATTGTTGAACTCGGATTATTGCAGGCCTGAGGCCAGTGAGCTAGTTCGCAAGGCAACGACATGTGCTTGGCCAGGCACCACATTGCAAATGCTTAAGTTTCCCATATTGCGACCCTCCGATATTCGCGTCTATCACCGCTTTAAGCGTCTTTTTTCGGAACGTGCACAGCGCGCGGCGTTGGAGAAGCTGCGTCGCGACCAGGCTAAGGAAACGGGTACTGTGGCAGCGGCTCAGCTAATTGGAAACGTAGGACGCACCTTTGAACATCGCGTAGATGTGGAGGATGCGTTTGCCATGTCAACAGGTACGCAGCCCATAACGACGCTCAACGAACGGAAGGCGGAGTATCGTGAGGCCCGTTGGGTTTATGATACGCCTGGTGTCATGCAGCCGGATCAACTGACGCCCTTGCTCACGACGCAGGAGTTGCTGCGTTTACAACCCACAAAGATGTTGAGACCCCGAGCCTTTCGCTTGGCACCCACTATGTCCCTGCTATTGGGTGGCTTGGCACGCGTTGATTTGCTGGAATGTAACCAGGAGTACCTAAAACTGTTTGTTTTTGCTGCAGAAACGCTGCCGATATTAATAACAGATATGCAGCAGGCTGAGATGGTTTATGAACGCTATTTGGGCACACCCTTATTGGGTGTGCCCATGGCTGGTGAAGATGAAACGCGTCTGCAGCGCTGGCCTGGATTGCAGTGCATGGAAAAGGATATCGTGGTACAAAGCGGCGCGTTGCTTAATAGACAAGCTGAAAAGCAGCTTAATTGTGATATAACCCTCAGCTCCGCTGGCTGGCTGGGCCTGCTGCTGCCAGAGAACTCTGAGTGCACCTGGCGTGTTTGGACTCCGCAGGCAACTGGCATTTATGTACGCAAGCCGGCCCTAATACCACAGGCAGACCGTTTGGTGGGAAAACACATTCGTTATTCTCTAGCCTATAACACAGCTAAGCCATTTGTATTTAGAAAATAGCGCTGATACATTTTAACTGCATTGTGAAGAAAAACAAACCAAAATTAATTAAAGTAAAAAATTCATAGTTTCGTTAAATACTCGACGAGTAATGTTTATCGTTAAGTGTGGAGTTACTTTGGCGATTTTGTGATGGCCTGATAGCCGATATATTTTGCGCAAGCCGCTTATTATCACACCGTGAAACGATTTTTTCGATGTCCCATCTCTAACAAAAAGTATCCACTTTTTCACGGCAACAAAGAATTTGTATGGCACAGAATTTAGTAAATTAACGCAAATTACAGCCATTAAAATGCCATTTATTTAGCGCAACGCAGCGGCGACAAGTGCAATTATAAGTATAAATTGTAATTTACAATTTACAAACTGCGACGCAGCCTCGAACAACAATTTTTGTATGCTGTAAAGAAAGCCAGGATAATGGAGCAGAACTCCAGCACTATTATAAACGAGAAGGAGCTGGAAATCAACAGTGCTGCACCAACAACTACAGCCGCATGCAGCAGCAGCGACATCGATGCCACACATGAATTCCAAACCATGAAGCCGGGCGCAGGACATAAGTTACAACTACAACAACAACAGCAGCAGCTTGGCAATGGACGCACTGAGCTGCCACATAGCGAGCTCGTGAAGATGCTGTACTATTTGGAGGGAGAGCTGCAGGCACGCGATGTGTGCATCGCTGCGCTGCGCAACGAGCGGGTTAAGCAGCTGATCACACAGCTGCGCACAAAGCGTGTGCAGCCAAACGATCCGTATGCTTCGCTGTTTCGGGATAAGATCGCATTGAACGGGAATCTGATTTCTCGCGAGTCCTCCACGCAGGCCGCTCAAGCGGAAATGGAGGTGCGCCAGATCATTGAGCAGCAAATGGAGCAGCAGTATCAGATGGTCAGCAAGCAGCGTGGCACACATGTGCGCATGGTTAACATATTGACCGAGTCGCTGGAGAACAATCAGCGCATGCTGCAGCAGCTAGAGGAGGAGAGGCGCAAGCATGAGCATGATACCGCCCAGGGGGATGATATAACCTATGGCCTGGAAATGGAGCGCACCAAGTTGCGCCAGCAGTTGGAGGCGGAGCAGGCGCAGGTGGCAAACATGGAAAAGGATCTCAAGAAACTGCAAGAGACGCTCGAGTACGAGCGCAACAGGCAAAAGCAGATCGTTTTGTTACTTATCGCGGAACGAAAGAAGATCCTAATGAAGTACATTGAGGAGGGTGAGGGATTCCCTTAAACCTCAATTATATATAAATTAATCGAAAAACGACACTTTTCAGGCAAACGTTCAGAGGATCTGGCTCAAATTCTCGCCGAAGAGAAGCAGCGCTCCGATACCATTGCCGAGGGCCTTGAGGAGGAGAGCAAAAAATCGCTGCGTATGGAGGAGGAGCTGGAAAAGCAAACACAATCAATGGAACTGGAGCGCAAAACGCTGTTGTCCAAATTGGCCAAGGAAGAGCTGCGGTATGTGTTCCATTAAAGACAGTTTCCCATTCTATTACTAAATACAAACATATATATAAATGCAGTGTTAAGGAGCTGGAGCAGGAGCTAAACACGTTGCGTAGCGAGCACGAGGCATTGAAGAAGCAACATCAACAGCAGCAGCAACAACTGGCTGCCAGTGGCTCAACGGTGGCTGCTGCCAGCAAGTCGCGTCAGTTTAGTGGTAGGTGTTGCTCAGGCCAGGGGCCTTTATTTTCCTGTTGTAATTATGATTTAACTTCTTCTGTTTTCTATATATATTTATATTTATTTCGTGTCCCTCTCAAAGATGAAATATTTTGTTAGAAAATATCTTACGCAATTTGCAAGGTGATTTGTTTTTTCATTCCTCGTTTCGTACTTGTGATGACTGCACCATACAATTTGCGCAAATGCATCACCACACACTCAAACACACACAAAGCACCCACTGTAAACACGCCAGTCAATGCTTAGTTAGTATACAAGATTTTCGCGGTAGGCGGCTCGAAGAGATCTAAGCCCCTTTTGGGAGAACCTTTTCTGCATTTCAGAACATTAATGGTAGTGGGATATATATTGTATTTATAATATAATTATATTATTGTAATTGTGACCGTTTAGGTGACCTCAGAGTTTGCACATGCTTACAACACGCTATAATTTCCAAATGGTTTTTCTTACACTTACTGCTAAGGCTAAGTCAAAAGCACCTTATATGCTTTTTATAGAGCTTATAATATAATTCAAACATGACTTGATGCATTGGCTATAAGCCCAGTCTGTAGAATTTGATTTTCATATATCTTAAAGGCCAGATACATGTCAGGTAGATAAATTTACTTGGATAGCTGGATAAAGCTTTTAATTACTGTTTTGGGTATTAAGAAACATTAAATAATATAATAGAATATTGCTAAGGCTACAGATTTTTTTTTATAAAGTTTGAGTTTGATCTGCAAAAGTATACATATATACATATGTCTATGTCCAAGCTTTGTAGTAAAGAAGATTACTTTAATTTTTGTATTTCATATGTATTTGAATTTAGATTCCCATTGCTAATCGTTAACTTAATACATTTTACAGACGACGCATGTGCCACGCCCATGGTAAACATTGCGAAAATAGTTCAACCAACCGCGACAGTGACCAGTATGCCGGTTTCGGGTCCACAAACGGGCATAGCACGCTCTATTGTGCCAGGCCAAAATATACGCAGCGCCGCTGTTGGCATTGCTACGGTGCCAACGGGGACCGCCACCGCGCCCACGGCGCCATCTACTCTGGCTGCCGTCAATCACAACAGCAGCACAGTCGCTACAACGGACGTTGGCGCCGCTGCTTCCAGTGCTGTTGTTGCAACTGCTCCACCATCACCTTCGCCGGCTAAAATGCAGCCAACGGCGACCATACAACGTGCGCCGGGCGGCAAGTACGCAGCACTGGCTGCTGCTGCAGCGCTGGATCAGACCGCAATACCACCGCATCCACATCCTGTGCCCATCGCAGTGCCACCTGTTACCGTGCCGCCGGCAGGGGCACGCGGCGCACCACCACCCATACCAACTAAGCCAATTGTACCGCCCAAGCGGGAGCCTTCGTTGTCGCGATTGGGCTCCATAACGAGCGGCAGTGCTGCTGCCACAGCCATTGCCGCAGCTGCGGCGGCAGCAACGGCTGCTGTGGCGGCTACCGCAACCACAACAACTGCCTCCTCGACGAGCGCAGCAGCAGCAGTGGTACCGGCGACTACGGCAAAACATAATTAGACACCTTTCCTAGACATCTTTTGACATACATATATACGCGCATTATACCATATAGCATATAGAAAAAGCGAAAATACTCAAAACCGAATATAGCTCCACACAATAATTGGCCGTAATACTACTTAAGAGGGTACACTCCTTCTGGAGCGTAAGTAAAAAGTATAAGATTCTTTGACCATGCCAAACTCAGACAGTCAAGTACGTTTTCCCCCAATTGACTCATATAAATATGTGTATTAAAAAGTTAAGGATTCTATCTTTGAAAGTTGAGTCCTGTGCTTTGATTAATTCTGTTATTATTTTTTGTTTTACTATTAGCTTTGCAAAGCCATGCAAAGAATGTAAGCATAAGAAAATAACAAAGTGCTTTAGTCTTTCTTTTAAATTGCTTTCAAGTGTCACTTAAAAGTGTTTTCATTGTTTCCCCTTTCCCCGCGCTAGATTTGTGTATGTAATTCCGTGTGTAGTCGTTAGTAAAGAACATTTGTACAAGGCCGTACGATTCTCATTATCATTAAAAAAGAAAATAAATGAACATATAGTAATTATATACCCTTATATAGTATACGGACTACTCCATTGTGCTCTGTGCGTTGTTTGTTAGTTCTTAGGTGCATAAACCCAAATCCTGTGCAGCTATAAACACATAACTTTATGTAATTACCTATAGAACGTTTTAGGTTTTTAATTTCGTTTTAAGTTCGGCTTAAGCATTTTAATTTGCCTTATGAAAATAAAAGAACCTAATCCTATAGATTAGAACGTTAAATTCTAATCTCGAATACAATATTATGTATCCAAAAATGCTTCAACTTCAAATTTATACATTTTGACATGCGTTGTGGCCAGTCTCTTTTGGCCAAAAGAGGCTGTCTTGGTCAGACAATTAGCGTTATTGGTACTTACAGTAAATAATAGCAGACAAAAAGAGGCACAAATTAACAAATCGTATGAAAACAAGAAATTAGTAATGCAATAAACGTTTACAACAAATTACGATTACGATGTATTTAAAAGCAAAAATATAAAATAAATTAAACTACAAAAAAAGTTTGCTTAAAAATCACATTGCGGGTGCTGTATTCTCAATAATCATAGCTCTGGACAAGTTTCGGGCACATGCCAAACGCATTAGATCCAGTATCTCCTCAACATTCTCCACACGGTAGTCCTGGAACACGGTCTTTGATGTTTGCTGTGCGGAAAAGTGGTGAGTGCAAATGGAAAATCTTTCCTATTGATTGTAATGTAAAAGCTTGCTTACATTATTAAACTTGGCAGTGTTTAATTTGTTGCGCTCTATTAACGGCACCAGCTCCATTTCGAGATGCTGTAATATAGCAATAGTTTCCTTGCAGAAAATCTTTGGATCTTCAGACTCCAGGAGCGGCAAGGCATCAATGAGCAGCGAGGGCCAAAAACTGTTATTAAATTGTGTATTATTCAAAGGGTTACAAATTTAATGAAAATTACTTACTAATCGGGCGTGATTTTCGAAGCGAGCAGGTTGATGAGCAGTTCGGCACCGGAAAGAAAGTCGCGTTGGCGATAAAACTCATAGAACTCAAAATACTTGGACAGAAATACTAAACGGGGCGAGACAAACATGCGTGCCCCAATACTCGTTATAACATCCGGACACAGCATAACACCCGTACTAGAATAGTGCTGCGGATTATAGTGCGTGTAATATATTAAGAGCACAAACAAAAAACAAAGAAAATGAAAGCTACCTTCAGTATAAAGTCGGCTACGGCTGTAACTAACAACACATCCTTAGAGCGAACTGCCCATTCCAGTGCGCTGCCATAGCGCTGATCGGAATACGCGCGCTTCGATAGCACTTTACAGATATCCTGCTCAACGTTGATCAGGCCGCGTTCCTTTGCCATTGCTATAATCTTGAAGGCTTGGCGCTCGCTCTTTAATGGAATGCGTGGCAGCAGCAGCTCAATGGCAGCAATACCCTCTTGTTTGCAACAATCTAAATAATCAATGCCCAGCTGCCAGAGATTGTGCGAGGTCATTAAAAAGCTGCCATACTCAAAGATCATCGAGTTTCGCAGCGCCGAGAGGTCGCTATGGGGTCAGACATTAAAAGGATGCATTATATTGTAGTGCCATGGTACTTACACGTTCTGTTGGTCGAAATAAGCCTTGAGCTGACCCGTGTGGTAGATCAAATCGATAAGATGTGTGGCAAACAAATGGCTGTCGTTGAGCTTTTGTGTATCGTAGATGAAGAGCTTAACATCGTGCTCCATCAGCTGCATAACCATGCGACTCATTTGTGTCATCTCCCAGTCGGGTCGTAGCCCTAGCCAGCGGTTAAGCCAATTACTAGCAGCTATGCGCAGCTCAAAGGGCTTGCACGCGGGCCTCGTGTATAGCAGATAGCCGGGTAAAAATTCATACCAGTCCTGCGACTTGAGCAGTGCCGCATCCCAATGCTCGTTACTGCCCGAAACCAGGTGCATTATCAGCTCTAGCTGCGGTTCGCTGGCAAATACATGTGCAGTCAATTTTCGCTCCAAATCAACATGCCAGTACTCCCACTGGGAGCAAAACTTTTGCAATGCATAGCCATCTGTATAAACCGGCATCGTTTTAAGCACCTGCTCAGCTGTTTGGAAGGCGGGCTGGTTAGATTTGCGATTCTGCGAGAGTATGGCACGTGTTACATCTAGTTGGCCGAGCATTATAAGCGTTTTCAACGTATCCCAATAGCTATCGCACTCGCTGGCCTCCTCGGCCATGAGCAACAAATCAGTGGCATGATCTTCTGTATTGGGATAATGAAAGCGCGTCCACTCCAATAGTTGGGGGACAATCAGTTGGCTGTGCTGCTGCTGCATGTAAAGTATCTCAAACAGATGCCACAGACACTCGATTGCATAAAAGGACATGATGGCGTCCGTATAGCGTTGTTCCCTAGACTCATTTTCTTCAACTTCCGGCAATTTCTTCGCTTGTTCCAGTTTCTCTAGGCAGCAGCGAATTACGCTCCGATACGTTCGCGAAATTTTTATGTATTCTATTGTTTTTTTTGGGCCCCCCTTTGAGCCCTGGCCAAGTGCTTGTAGCGTTGCAAATGTGGCATTTGTCTCAGCCAGCAAACTGCGAAGCAGCGGCTCCGTGTAGAGCGTCGTCTCCTGAGCCATATAAATCAGCACCGCCCCCTCGCCAGCCGTTTCGCTTGGTACGTCACGTGTACTCCATTTAACCGGCCGGTAAGCGCTCAGTGCTATTTTGGAGCCGCCTGGCACAAATCTTGCGGTAAGTGTGTTGCCGCAGCGCATGGCGAGTGCATCGCCAAGTTCCTGGAAATTAAAATTATTGATTGGCGTATTACATATATTTGTAACAAAAACTTACGAATTGTGGTACGGTATCCTCACTCATATTAAATTCTTAAAACTGTAATCTTAACAAAACAACTGCCAAAAGCGAGCAAGCGCGTTTTTGTATGCGGCATATAAACCAGTGTTGGTAGAGTGTCGGTGTAGTGTAGTGTTGAGAATGTGTTGGCAATGTATCGAGTATTTAAAAAGGCCAGTATGCAGATACAACTTGCAACGGTCTTTTCACCATCTTATGGAAATCAACGAGTTAAGACCTTCTTTGTAGTTCTTGGCTCTTTTTTAAAATACTTTTAATCAGAGGCATAGAAATTTTAAATGTGTCCAAATCCAAAATTCTATAATAGGTTTTATGTTTGAATGCATTTTATCTTAAAATATTTTAAGTTATAATCTTTCCTAGGAAAAGCCACACACCAAGCTGCATAATTTATTAAGCAAACAGTTTTTAGATCGTCCATGCAGCATTCAATGCACTGACTGGTGTTAACAATATGTTTAGTTGCTTACAGCTGTTAACGTTTACTGCTACTGCAACTAATATTAAGATTCTTTGGTGCTGTTAACGAGTGAGAGTGTTGCCAGTCCGAAATAGTTTCCATTGATGCCTTGCCGCTAGCTCTTAAAGTTCTTTAAATTGGCGGTTCCGTTTTTATCCATACAAATCGTAAAATCAAAACAAAATGGAAATAGACGATCTTTCGGCGATTTTGTCGCTGTTTGAACACAATGTGAACAAATTACGAACAAATTTAAGTGCCTATCAAGTTGAAGTAGATGCTGTACGTCAGACGCTTCAAGAAAGCTGGTCGCATGTTGGGCGCGCAGACGGTCGCATTATTTCCGTTCACGATGCCCTCCTAGGCAGCGTGAACGAGGTCAACGAATATATAATCAAATTGAATTTACGCATCAAGCTGAACGGAGCATTTGGCATTTTCAAGAATGTGGATGCCAAAGAAGTTCTTAATAATCTACGGCGAAAATCCTTGGAGCACAACAATTATAAAGTGAACCACACAAATCTGGATGGCATCGAGGTGGGCGAGCTGGACGTACATTCAGTAGGCGCCAAACAGTCAGAAACAGAGTTCAAAGGTGATGCATTACAGCTTGTAACGCCAAAGCATTTTAATAATAAAACAAATCAATATACGTATGACACGCCCACAGCTCGCAAAGGCTTAAGTAGGACTGCCCCATTTGTGCGGCTTGCTACAGCACAGGAACATGCTAAGCTGGAGAGCCCCTCAATTCCAGCTGCTCCCACTGCTCCACCTAAACTGCCCATCCCTCCACGCCAGGCAAAGCTGCTGCCACCCAATGGCGGCAGGCAAATGACAAGCAATGAAACGTACGATCAGCTGTTGAAGAATATAAGTAGCTTTGCCGAAGACAGCATTGTGCAGGTTACAATGATGCATCTCAATATTGCGGAGAATTGTATTTTCGTGGCAAAGTGGGGTCTGGAATCAACGCCGTTAAAAAAGTTGCTGGCGTGCCAAATGCCAATACAGGAACTAAACCAGCTGCCCGATTTTGGAGAAATATTTGCTGTCTATGATGCTCAGGAGCAGATAATACCACGTGTGGTGATCAATGCACACACTGAGGGCGGCGGCTACGATGCCTATTTACTGGACTATGGCGAACATATTCACTTGGATGACGAAGAGGTAATCTTTGCGCTACCCAATGAAGTGAAGATGCTGCCGGCCGAGGCTGTCAGATGCTTTGTTCGCAATCGGGAAGTTGGTAGCATGCGTCGGTTTACCTATAAGAATGTGAGGGTGCGTGTTTTGGAGAACAGTGGCAACGATCTAGTGGTTGACCTCATGGAAGATGGACATCCTGAAGAAAAGACACAGTCATCAAACCGTTTTGCCAGCCTTGAAAATACTCGGAAAATCAATTTGGGTATAGATTTAGAAGAGCAAGCTAAACCCAAAGAGACCAACATTGTAAAAGAAACGCAGTCGGCAAAAACTGAACAACAATTAGCAGAACCTACTCTAAAATTGTGTCCAGCAGATTTGGAAATGCTAGAGAACATTGAGTGCGGCACCAGTGATGCGCTCAAGGCGGTGCTGGGCTTTAAACCAACAGATGATCAACGTATTTGCCGCCATTACGATCCAAAGATCAAAGGCTGCTTTAAAGGTAAGCGCCCAAATGTTTTAAACTCTTCAAGCCTTTCACAAATGGATGCAACATATGGCTCAAAAGTTGTAAGGCTTGGTTTCAAGTCGCAAATGGGAAAACTGTTGATTGCCACTTTTAATATGATCGACCTGAAGATCATTCTCAAACATTTAAGTAATTTTAAGATAAACCGATTTGCAAATTCATTTGAAATGTGTTTCTTAAGAATTGTTTGTAGATATTTTATATGCAGGCCTGTCGATCATTTAAATTTTGTATTATTTGTTTCCAGGAACTAACTGCCGCCTGTTGCATCAGCCTTTTGCGCCACATGGCGCTACCAAGGACACCGAGCTGGTTGAAGCATTGCCTGACAGCATATATGTGTCTCCGGCGCCCAGAGATTTGGGGAGTGTGGTGCGCGTGCTCGTCACGTATATCAAGAGTCCAACCCAGGTGTATGTGCAGTTTGTAGATGACCTGCCGCCGCTGGTTTGGAGCAAGAAAGAAGTGCCCGAGTCGCAGTGCAAATTTAAACGGTCGCCGCATGTGCTGGACTTGGTGATGGCGCTTTACACCGATGACTGTTACTATCGGGCGCAGATTATTGACGAGATCGACGGGGTATTTAAGATCTTTTATGTGGATTATGGCAACACGGAATTTGTCACCATAAAGTCGCTTGCACCGTGCAGCGATGCCATCAGCCTGAAACCGTATCGGGCCAACAATTGCTTGATTGAGGGCGTTAAGCGCAGTTCCTTGGCTTCGCAACAACAAAACGCCGAGTGCGTAGAGTTCCTTAAAAGTATAATTCTCAATTCAGAGTTCGATGTAATGTTGATTAGCCATATGCCCGATAATGGGTATGTGATCAAGTTCTTGGATCGTTATGCTGATGTGCCCAAGCAGATGATCAAACGTGGCTACGTGGAGCCCACCACCGATAATCTGCAGCACAGCGACAACAGTGTAGAACAGGCCTGAACGAACACTAACTATAGTAGCATTTTCTTTACCTATTATTAGTAACAATTATAGCTTGTAAAATTCAGTATCTGATGAGTTATTCGAATGCAGCAGCGTCATGTCGGATGAGGAAAGCGGCGGAAAATGTCGCCAATGTCGAAAACTTTTGAAAAGTCGCATCAGCTGGGTAGTTTTTATTTGCTTAGCCGCATTAGTTATGACATTGGGCTATGTGCTTTACCCGAAAAAAACGTAAAATACAACTAATACGCCATGGAGGAACCTTTTATTTTTTTTTTGCAACTTCTGCTTATGTAATTATGAAAAACATATGTTTATGAATATATATATATATATACAATTGGTTTATGCATTATGCATTGATATATTTTGCATACGTCTTCAATTTCAAGAAATCTACTGTCTATGGGTACTGAGGCGAAAACATTGATTTGGATGACGAAAGGTGTATCTTTTCGCAGCCCTTTGAAGTGAAGGTGAAGTTAACAGATGCTTGGTAGCATGCATCAGTTTACCACCTATAAGGATGTGAGCGTGCGTGTTCTGTGAGTGTTGGAGGATGGACATCCTGAAGAAAAGTCGCCGTCATTAATCCTTTAGATTGTGATCAACTGCTCAGATCAATGTTGACGTGCCCAAGCAGGTGATTAAGCATCAAGGAAACTACCATGGATAGTGGGATTTGGGGTAAGCCAGTTGCTACGTCCAGATAGAAGCAAATTTAAAATTTTAAAGTATAAATATTTTATATAAACAATTTTGAAAGCAAAACAATTTGTGAAATTGACCCAGACGCTGGCGATGCAACAAACAGAATCTAAAAGATAACCATGTAGTATAGGTAGATGTGCTTCATAATCCTAAGATTAACAAGCTGTCGTTTTGCTATATGTCTGCAAGTTTACAGATCTTTTAAAGTTCATAGTATTAGTATTTACTTATATAGCACAAGACACTGCTGTGCAACGACTTTCAGAACTGGACTATATCCATGCAGTATCTATCAGTTCATTAGATAAGTCTTGATAAATGCATAGAGCTGTATGTCAAACTTTTGATTAATGGTAAAAGGCGCCCCATTAACAGTCATTAAAGCATAACGACAAAAAATCATGGTCTCGAGCTAAACTGTTGTCGCAAAGCTTGAAAACTAAAACAATAAAATAATAATACTAATTTCCCATAATGTGCAAAAGCAAAAAACCAACAGCAGTAAAGTTTTGGTCTGGTTGGTATCCAGGCTCGAGTTCGGTCAGGTCGTCGTCGCCGCGGGTGCTAATAGATTATGCCGCAACGATTAGAAAGGCAATAAATAACACCTGGCGGAGATCACATGCGTGTACGGCCAACATATCGGGTCACATGGGGAAGCACAAAATGACGACCCGCTCGCTTTGTCCTGGTGTTGACAATTTAAATGTTTTAGCAGCGAACAAACCCAAAGGGTAGAGTCTTTGTGTCATTTCAACTTAGCCCAGACTTATCAGGGATATGCCGTGTTGTGAATGACAACAACTGCATAACGGCGTATTTTATGTATGATGGATACTTGAAAGGACTTCTCAATATTTTGATTTTTCAATATTTTCTAAAGTAACTTACCAATTGAATTGAATGATTCCACCTTTGACAGCACGGATATATCTTCTTTCATGCAGTAGACAGAATATATTCACATATATTTTTAAAAGAATTTCTTGTGGAGCATTTATTTATGTTATCAAAATGTTTATTCAAGATTAAATACCTTTCTTTGTTCACATTTGCCTGAAGGTTTTTCATAAAATGTTGCAGCTCGTTAATGCAATGTTTCATGAAAATATCGTGGAAAACAGAATATTTGGCCAACTAATTTTTCGACCTATTCTTCCTATAGTGCTATTTAACGAGAACCTAATTTTCGACCGATCGTTCCTTAGGCATCTATATGATATAATGTTGCGATGTTGTTTTTCGAATGTACATGAGGGGCAAAATAATTGCCGAGTTAGGTAAATAACAAAGAATTTAGTTACGTACTGCCTCCAACTACCTCTGCATCGTTTCAAGACGATGGCTTTAAAGCTGAGACTGGATTGACGAGATAGACGATATTTCGCCTCTACAGTTGATGGTGATCTATAATAGAATATTTATACTTCATAGGGTCGGAGATTTCTATGTGTTACATATTTCATACAAAAAAATAAAAAAATAATATCAAGACCGTTGACCATTTGACCATTGAGACAACTCTTTTTAGTTTAACAAATGATTTCGAGCTAAAATAAGAATTTATATTGTAATATTGAACTTGGGATGGCAGATGAAATAAGGTTGAGCGTTTACGTTAGTATTCTGTGAAGCACAAAATCATATACACACCTGCTGAGACCACCCTACACGATAATTACATTAGTATTAAACATAGGGTTAAGTGTCAAAAGGATGAGGAGACCCTTGACATATGTTCCAAACCAGGCAGCACACATAATGATGATGAGCCTGAACCACCCTTCGTTTGCTCAAAACAAATAAAACCCACATTTACAGTTTTTGGTACATTTATTTAATTTTTTTTTTTTTTTTGGTTTGAACAATAATTTTGATGGACTGAGACACAAGAACGCAACTATTTGAATTTCTAGAGTAGTTCGGGCGTTGCGGGGAACACACAACGTATAAACGAAATTGAATAACAAACAAACAAAACTTGGCCTGCTGCATTTGGCCTTTGGCCTAACAATTGGAGCCACGCCTGTTGCACTTGTGGCGCTGACTGTTTAGGGAGTTGCCCCCGTCCAGGATGTCGGAGTTGACCTTCTGTAGTTCGGCAATGCGCTGCCAGGTGGCGCAAAAGTGCCGCACATTGCGAGCATTGGCCAACTTGGCAATGGGCCCCAATGTGCGATAGCCGTTATTAATGTAGCGTATAAAGCCCTTGGCCGACAAATCCATGACAGCTGTCTTCACTTGAGCCTCCAAATCGCCGCAGGCAAATGATCTGCAAAAGAATGGATCACAAACTCAAGCTGAATGTGCCCTTATGCAAAACTCACTCCTTCTCCAGCATCTCCACAATATGTGTCTCCTTAATGCCATTCACATATTTGGGATGATCCTGAAATATGCGCACCATATCCATGATATACAGTGGCAGATGAATGTGATAAGAGTTTGAGTGCATCATCAAAGTTGTTGGCTCGCAGTCGCTTATGGGAGTCTCTTCACACATTTCGAATAAGAATTTACTTTTACTGTTTGCACGACTTAAATATTTAGTTATTTGCTTTTCTGGATTTAGAATATATATATATTAGATTAAGTTACTATTTGAGCATAAATTTTGTGGAGACAACTAAAGCACTGCTAATGATACCATTGGCAACGTCTACTGGGTTACAGCCCTCGCTCTAAGTGCTAATGTCATCCACTTACAGGTGTCATTAACAGTTTGTCCAGCGATGTTTGCTTTCGGTTTGCTCTTCAATTACCAGCCGGAGCCGAACAAATATTGTAACAATTACATGTTCCTTTCTTGTTTTTTTTTATTACCTGGTAATTTGAATAATATATAAATAGAGCTCTCCCAAATCCCATTGCATTAGCTGGCGGGTCGCGTTCCCTGGGGTGTGTTAAGTGGCAATGAGGCATTTGGGCAAGTAAAAGGAATTTGGTTTCGATCTCAGGGCCCAAACCTTGTAAATGTATCGGGGACTTAATTGTTGTTTACATTGAAAGTAGGCATAAAGGATATATTAGTTTTGTGCGAATGTATGTCTCAGATACTGTACATTAAGAGCTAGAGAATTGAAACTTGTAAAATAAGTTCTCCTTTGGTACGCACAGATGAAGTTGGTTTCAAATGATCGATACCTTAGCCCGTTTCCATGAAATTGATAAATCTCAACATTCGTATTCCCTGTATTAAGTATATGTCGGAGCTAAAAAGAGCTGGACAAACAAATTTACTATGATATTATTTTTGGTGCTATAATATGTGCTTTGGTATTTTCACACACACACGCTCTCATGCTATCCTTAAGCCCTGTAAATCTCATTAACTTCGGTCTATAAGCAGCCAAGTTATTCAAGAACGCATTTCATAGTGTGGGGATAAGGGAAGAAGAAGCACAACAGCACCATTAAATCGCATTAAAATCGGAGAAGATTATTGTAGATTATTCTCAGAGTTTTGCTCGATCTCTGTTTGGTAGCAAGTATAGGATTATATTTTTATTTTTAGAATAGTTTAAAAATTCTAGTTTTAATCTTAAAATATATCTCTATCCGGGCTTCAGGGAATTTCCTAGTCGGGCACTTCCAACTGGAGCAATCATATTTATTTTTAATAGATGATAATTTTCTATATGTGCACAATTAATTGTCAAAACACAATGTACAGCAAAGTATAATGTCGACTTTCCTTCTATGGCTAAATCTCCTTTGCAAGAAATTTTTTTAAGTGCAGGATTTCCATATAATTGCGAAGCATCAGTACAGACTTAGCTTAGCATTGACTTATTTCTTTTTCTTACTTAAAGGTTGTTTTATCTAGAGCTTTTCTTTCCGGCTTTACTTGAAGCATTGTTGTTTTGATTTCAAACCTACCTTGAATTAGTTTGTTTTCCAATTCTTAGACCAGCCTGGTCGTTATGGCAATATCTCCATTGGGTTAGTTGCTATAACTAGAATTTTATAGTACTTATTTCCCTTGCCTTGTCACCGAATCCGCAGGATCTCTTGCGTAATGGATATTCATACATGCCAGACATGCCAGACTGTGCACGCAATCGTTTTTACCATACTCTAGCTTTAACTTTCGAACACCGTAAAAGACACAATGATACCCCCAAAACCAGGACAGTCAAAGGGTTAACTATGGTACAACTTTTGCCAACAGATAATAATATTAGCGCATACATTATGAAATATTGTTAGGATGCCACCGTCAACTGTCGCTGACTTCCGGTTGTGGGCGGGGACGACCAACTGGCAATTTCTTTCACCCAAACAGGTGACAGTTTCTCAAAGTAAACGGGTTGAAGAAGACCCACGACTGACATGTGGTAAAATGCTTTATGGGTAAGGTTATCAAAACTTAGTGGCAATTACATTGGTTTATTTGTTTCAGTCATGCTCAGAGAGCAGTTGCACAGAGCTTTTGATGGCTTCATAAGTTAGATTAGCTAAATTGAGGGCTGACTTGCCATTTTTGGGTCTATAATTACTATAAAACCAACTTCCTATGCTAACCGAATATCTTGTTCCGAGTAAGTTATATGTTCTGTGCCTCGACAGGAGCTTTACCTTTGTGTTAGGCCACTTTCATAGGTTGCAAAGGCTCTTGATTGACAGCCCACGTGACTTGTCAATTTTACTTGGGCCATAGTTGGCGAGAGACCACAATATATGTAAGGATATACTTGCCTACAGAAGAGATAATGAATTAATTTCATAACTAAAGAAACTTGATTATAGATTAAATAATTTAATGTTTTTCTTTTTCAAATTATGTACGAGTACTTCTTCTTCTTATCCTTGACAGATCTCTATTACTTTAATGAACCAAATATTTTTCAAATTTCGTTGGGAAAAACTGTGTACACATTTATTTCTAATAGGGGGAATGGGGGTATCCGAATTATAAAATATTGTATATCTATGTTTATTCTACAATAACATATATTCCAAGTAGGGTGTATCTAGATTCACAATTTAGGAATATTCCTTTCAAAAAGGATTATCTCCAAAAAGTGATTTCGTTGCAAAAAAAAAAACGAATTGAAATTGTCTGGAAAATCTTTGAAAATAATCACAGGATAGTAAGCAAAAGTGTTTGATGTAATTGTTTTCCACAAATTTTCATTATGAAAAGGTAGGGTAAGAAATTCTGCTTCCCAGCTTTTATAATAAATCAGTCAATCAGTCGATCCATAAATAATTTGTTTATCCTGAGAAATAAAATATAATATATAGAACACACACACAATACATTATCATTTCCCTGCTTGAAATTGAACATATTTAAAGACCTCTAGTAGTAAAATTCATGTACTTCAATTCGTGCTTCTCGGCTCTCGAGTGCACTTTAACCCCTATTGGGGCGGGCAATTACAGCTATTATTCTTAATCGTAATGTTTCATCTAAAAAATGCTGGTCGATGAAAAGCGCAACGGTACATTCCTTTATGGTCGATTTCCAAGCCCCCATGTCCAGCTAGATGCCTACCCGCCCATTTCCATGTCCATTCGATCATTCTCATTGGTTGTTGAAAAAAGTTTCCAGCCCTACGTTGAGCCATGCTGCATAATAGTTGGCCAACTCATATAACCCTGTCTGAACTCTTGCCCATGTTAGGTAACACCCCCAACGAAATCAGAAATGTGGTCAACAACTTTTCATATTCCTGACATTTTTTTTGGCTCCTGTCTAAGCGGCGGCTTTGAGGGGGTGGCTAATCAGACTAACCAGTTATATGAAACCCTTATAACTGTGCTGCAAAATAAATGTCATTCAACATGGAAAAGTGTCATGTATTTGACGAATAATTACCGTCAACATTGCGTGATTGGCTGAATCAACCGGAAGGCGGCCTGTGGCGCTATGGCTTAGATTTAGTCCCAACTGGGTTGGGGTTGGGCAAGGCCCGTTGGGGCTGCCCTCTGTTTATACGTATGTGTGTGTGTGAGTGTGTGTGTGACAATAACCTATAATTATCTAGCAGCTAGGCAGTCAAACCGTAGGCAGGTGGCAGTGTGGACGGTTGGGCAAACTGGAAATACGCGCCGCAGGCTCAGAGACAACGCGGCACTCGGCGCGAACGGAACTCAAAACTCTTTGTCGCCGGAGTTCTGGGAGTTGCTCAAAATGTATTCGCCCGCTAAATCGCCCATAGTAGATGTTACCGAAACCATCTCCCTGCACAGCGAACTGGACATTGACCTGGAGCCAAGTTGCAACTCAACCCTCACGATACCCGCAACGCATAGTCTGCGCATGCCGCTGCCTGGACTCGCATTGCCCAGTCTCTTGGGCTCCAAGTCAAATGGCGGCATTCCTGGTGCTACGTTACCCGCCTTCGAATATATTGCGCCGCCGAATCATGCCATGCAGAGTCTTGACTTTCCGCTGATGGAGCTCAACCGCGTTGGCATGTTTCCAGGCTTTTTGCATCGGCGGGCACGTGGCGAAAAGCGACCTATACCAGATGCCCAGAAGGATGCCAAGTACTATGAACGACGCAAGCGCAACAACGAGGCAGCCAAAAAGTCAAGGGATGCTCGCAAAATACGCGAGGATCGCATTGCGTTCCGAGCTGCGCTCCTGGAACAGGAGAACTCCATACTGCGAGCCCAGGTGCTTGCCCTGCGCGATGAATTGCAGACGGTACGTCAACTGCTGGGCGCCACAACTTCCGGCATGTTGGGCGTGGCCAGGCAAGTCTGATACCATTCCTGGACATCGGGCTGTACATAGAAGTGAAATTGTGTTTTGTGATTTATAGTTATAAATAAATTTTTAGATTATATATAAGGGAAAAAAACTGATTCCTTTCCGCGCGAGGTTCAACCAGTGAAATATATGGTTGAAGGTAAGCCGAATTTTACACCTTTACCAATTACCCAACTAATTCGCCTGGGAGTGCCTGACTAGGAAATACCCTAGGCCCGGTGTCTAGCTGCGCCCATATACTTAACAAAAACATTCACAAATAGGGCACAGAAAAGTCGATACAGACGGACAGATGGACATGACTTTATCGACTATATATATAATTGATGGGATCTAGGATCCTTTCTTCTGCCTGTTACATACATTTGCAACATGTTGCTGCAGCTCAAGAATTCTATGAACGACATTACATCGGGATATTTCGAATGGTTGATTTCCCCTTTAAAGTTGCTTCGAGACCGTATTTCAGTTCAATCCTGTTGCAAAAATACTCGCAATGCTAGTTGTCAATCGTAGCGTCTTCACTTGTGGAAATAATTTTAAAAATATAGTTTTTTCTTACAAATATTTATCTCTATCAGCTTTTATTTTGAGTTATTTTAGAACCGTCTTTGACTTAGATGTAAGTTGATAAAAATGTGACTTTTTACAAAAAGGAAATCATTTTTTCAATAAAAGTTAAGCAAATTCCTCTAATGGCGTTTTACTGGTTTTTGTTCTGGTTTTTTTTTTTCAAAATTATATTATTAATTCCATCCCTATATTGAAGTCGAACAAAACTAAACAAGAACGTTGTAGTCGAATGTGCTCGACTGTAAAAATCCCCTGTACACTGCAGTCAAAAAACCTTTATGTTTTTGGTATATCATATATACGCT